CTCTGGCTCAGATATAATCCGTGATAATTAGAGGAGCGCTTTAAATTACTTTGAATGCTCCTCGGGGATTTTCATCCAATTTCCAAGTAAACAAGAACCACAAAGAATCATTTATCTTCTCGAGAGCAAACCTACGAATCTGTGAATGTTGTGTTAGTGCAGTTAGTTGTGATAAATCAGCAGATGAAAGAGATTCTTCAGCAAGATGAGAAAAAAGATAGTGTGATGGGATTTGAAACATTTAATTATCTTCTATTTAAATTGAAACATTTGCTAATACTTAAGCTGTTTATGTCTGGTTTTAGATCATCACTGACACTGGTTGACACTACTGGCTCATTTCCAGCTGAAATGTAATTGGCTGGCTCTTTTTGAAGGGGTCAGAGGTCAGAGATGACTCATGTCCCCCAGGGTGAAGAACTATGTTGTTCTGGATGGAGGTGCACATGCGTACACACTGTTAGCTCATGACATTCCTAAAATAGCAAGCGTAGCTGCTGGGTGTTTAACCTACTCTGTCTCCTGTAAGCTTCAGTAATGTAATGAGTGCTGTGCTGCTGCAGACTGCTGCAGCTCCTCGAACATCTACACCGTGCTGTGGCAAAACCCAAAACAGTGTGGTCTGATACTGGGGATGTGAGCATGAATGATTGTCTGACTCCTTGTGTTCTCCCTGTGATGGAGTGGTGAACTGGATGTTAGAGAATAAAGACGTTACAGAATAAAAACAAAATGAAGCATTTTCCCCACATCCACTTGGGGAAAAATGTTTTTTTTCTGTAAAGAAAAAAGAACCCAGCCACCAACGGGCAAAGCAAACTAGCACAGTATAAACACAATATCCCCCACTGTTTATCTTTCTGTGCTCTTCACAAAACATTTTGGGTACACTCTGATGCCAAGCATGATCCTATGGTTTTAGGAGAAAGAGGAAGCACTAAACTATCACAATAATCTGTCCTCACAGAAAAATTTATCATATCTTTTCCTGGTTTCTACACGCAGATGGGTGTGTCTCCACTTCAGATAACTGATCAGATAAACCGGTGGAGTGCTCTGGTTTGCTGTAGGTATAAAAACTACCTGATCAGGTTTAGTTTTGCAAATATTCACACATTAGAAAACTTAATGCTCCATGGGTGCCGAGTTCCCCTCCATCTACAGCATACATTTTACAGGCAATGATTCCCATTCCCATTAGAAACCACCTAATTGTGAACTTAATAATCGAGTCTTGAGTAATTCCTGCTTGCAAAATCGACTTATCTGGTTGTTTTCTGGCCGACTCATCCACATGGGGAATTTTTGGCTTGAGACATCATAAATTCTCCCATTATAATCAGAGGGTGGAGAACAAAGGAAGAGAGAATTATGTCAGGGTAAATATGTCACACTTTTCTGTTTTGGTGTGTAGCCATTTCCCTGCCGAGGAGTCTGAATAACATAAACATCTAAAAGCATCGCAGTGCTACGATTGCCGGTGACTAATTTTCTAATCATTTAGCAGAATCAGTCCCTCGTGTCCATACCACATGCTGAGGTTTCTGTTTTCAGGTCATTTGAACCATTGTTTTTAAAAGTGAGTGAATTAGCATGGAGCTGGACATCAGCTAACAGTCTGCTCTGTCAAAGTGTCAAACTGTTTAGAGTTAGAGAGTCTGCAGAGCAGAGGAGGGATGGGCATGTTAGGAAAGAGAGATGGCGACACATATTAACGAGGGGGTCAGTGGGGGTAAAATACTCAGTTGGGAAATACTAGTAGAAAGTCATGACAACATTTTGCCTTATTTACCCTGCATTTTCCTGCTAATTTATCTACAAGCATTACTCTTGATTGAATGTTTTGGATTTAACTGTAAACTACAACTTATACCTAAGAACGTGAAGCAAACTTTACACAAAATAAAAAAATTGTTGTTGCGTATTTTTCACACATCCCATTTCACAAAGTCTCTTTTTTTTTGTCCCCATTAAAAACTGAAGTTCAACTAGAAAGTTCGTAATTCTTTTAATTAGAGCCAAAGTACATTAAACTTTTTAAAACACTGAATTTATTACATATTGACATAAAAAAATACCAGCTAATTATTAAAAAACAACCTTTCAGGAAGATAGTTCAAAAATATGTTGCTTATGAAATAAAGGTTTGAAGACAATGTTTGTTTCCACAGTGCAGTAAAACATGGGCAAAAAATTATTATGAAACCCAGTGATCTGTTGTATTTCAGATGTTTTCATATGGAAATGATTAATCAATAGGAGACAACTAAATCCAGCCTAAATACATTATGTATTTCATTTGAGGCAACACCCTGGGCACAGTCTGCCAATCTAACAAGCATGTCTTTGGATTGCGGGAGGAAACCCACAGACTCCAGGAGAACATAAAAACACCACACAGATGTATCACCTAGCCGCTACACTGAAACCCAGAACTGTCCTTTTGAGAGGAGGCAACTAATTGCTGCATTACTGCCACGCCTGACACAGTAACATCCATCCATCCATTTTCTTCCACTGGAAGAGGCCGGAGCCTATCCTGCCTCCCACAGGGGGAGAGGTCGGGTACACTCTGGACAGGTCACCACAGTAACATGTTTGATCAAACAAAATATCACATAACGGTACTTTAGATTCGAAATCGGCCACAGGCATGAATATGAGTGTGTGACGCCCACAAGTGTATGGTCACAACTGTAATTTTGTTGTGAATTGTTTTTGATGTAAAAGACCTGATTTTATGGTGGTATTGCACTTTTCATTTAGCGTTATGGACAATGTAATTGCGTGGCATTGCCACAAGGGGGAGATAGTGGTGAGTGCGATAGGCTGTTGCAACGCGTCTCGGCCTCAGACGAGGAAGAGCCTGCAGACCGAACGCAACTGATGTCTCCTGTCTCTGCTTTTCTGTTAAAAAAACAGGTCAGTAGTTCAAGTTTGCTCACCACAATGTACATATAAAGGCAAGAAACCTTTTTCTGTCTTAGTTTAAAGACCGCAAATGTTGTGAGAGAGTGTGTTTTCACTGATTGAGAGAAAGCTAACTATACCGCCATTTGTAATGGCAGCCGCCATTTCACTCGTAGTCTAAATAGGCAGCTGGTCTTATTACCTGTTTTATTTTGTGACAAATGGAGCTCTTAGACACTTCTTTTATCCTGGCATTATTGGAAGTTACAGTTGATTAGGACCTACCCAGTTCTTATGTGTCAAATGTAAATAGTCTGATGTATACTGTTTGTGGATGATTGTGAACTGTTTGTGAGCAAGGGAAGAATATTTTTGTTTATTGGTTACAAATGTAATATATTGTTTGAATCTGTTAAAGTATAAGAAAAGTATAAAGGTGACATAAGCGGGTTAATTGCAGTGTTAGTGGTGCTGCACAGAAATGTTTTGATGCTGAAATGCAGTAAAATTGGTTACAGATTTATTGTAAATAAGGACGTTCATATACAATGATTATTTTGTAAGTTTATTCTTGTGAGAGTGCAAGGTAACCAAAAGGGTTTGAGCTATGGACCTAATTGAATGTTTGTGTTGTTAAAAGCGAAATGTGTGTGTCTAAATGAAAAGAAAAGGACGTTGTTAAACTCTGTTAATAAATCAGACGAGGAAGAGCCTGCAGACCGAACGCAACTGATGTCTCCTGTCTCTGCTTTTCTGTTAAAAAAACAGTTTAAAAACAGACCCCATCGAAGGCCTGTAACAAGTGTCTCTCAACATGCATTAGCCCTGTGACAGACCGGTGATCTGGGATATGCTCCAATCTCCCAGTGACCCTGAACTGGATAAATGGAAGAGGATGGATGGATGGATGCATAGAGTTCTCCAAACATGCTCATTCCGGTTGTCATCTATATAGGTTTCCCAGTTTTGCAAACTGTTCATTCTCGTTTACGTGCCCCACCCTCCCTCCCTCCTTGTTCTCAGTTCTTTAAATTCTTCACTCCTATTTAGTACACGGGGATCTGCCAGGCTCGGGAGCTGTTGGCAGTCCCCAAACCGAAGCTTAATTCATGTCCGAGCATTCACCTAGTAGGTAATACTATAGTACTATAGTAGGTAATACTATAAACACTGTCAAACCTAAATTGAGGACGTGGGCCCAGCTAGTGAATTTAATGTTTCTTCTTTTGTCTTTCTGAAGATGGATGGATGTGATCTCTTTTTTGTACCTTTGTTGGATAGTTTGGCATCCTATCTATATGATGCAGTTAGTGTCTGCTTGAGTTTCTCTTTTTTTTTCATTTTCACTGTGACAAGTAAAAATACAGTTATATTTATTTGCTGCAGGAGTGCAGTAAGAACAGAAATCTGATTGTAGTCTTCTGTGTTTAAAAAACAAAACTACACTATGTGAAGACACCAAGAAGACAAATGAAGACACACAACTTCTATATCAGGAAATAATATAAAATATGAAGTTTTCTTCCATCGCTCCTGTTCTTGCTGGCTTGCACTGGCTTCCAATTAAATACCGTATTCAATTTAAAATATTACTTTTCACCTACAAAACCATTAATAATTTGGCGCCGAGCTACCTCAATGAGCTTCTCAGGTTACACACTCCTGTCAGAGCACTTAGATCTGCTACCCAAATTCTTCTGGAGCAACCTCGTTCTCGGCTGAAGTCTCACGGTGACCGCGCGTTTGCTGTAACAACCTTCCTGTTGCTATTCGGGCGTCTGACTCTATGCCACTGTTTAAATCACGGCTGAAGACTTATTTGTTATCTTGCCTTTCCACCTAGTTAACACTTGGTGTGCGTTGGTACATTTTTATCCGTTATGCTTGTGAACTACTTTTATATCTTATGATTGTCAAGGTTTTTATAATTGATACGTGCCAGGTCCTTTCTCTTTTCCCTCCCATCTCCCTTTTCCTATTTTATTTTTGTCAAGCACCTTGGTATTCCCTTGGTTTTTTAGTGTGCTTTATAAATAAAGTTTATTATTATTATTATTATATTGACACTGGTAACTTTTAGGAATATTTCCCATTTTCCTTTTCCTTTTGACTACTGACTTGTCCTCCACCTCATTCTGTGGACCTCCCTAAGTCCTCTCTTGGTGCCTGTCGCTCAACCCCAGCCCTCTCTCCCTGCTGTGTGTTGTGTTATGCGGTGATATCCAGGGTTCCTGTGTGTTTAGACCGAGATAGGGCAAAGATTAAAAGACTGAAGTAATTTAATCTCTTAAATCTATTGACATAAACTCTTTCGCACACAGCGTACATCTCTATTTTCCTGTGGAGATACAAACATCTGGACTAACATCCATGTACACGAACACGCACACACACACGCACGCACACACGCACACTTGCCTGGTTTCTCTACATCCTCAAAGATACAAACATCTGTACTTTCCAGCACACACATACACAACCCTGCCAAAGACAAAGGCATGCTTGCGTGCACATTTGACTTGATCTTCAAAAGATGAAAAACATCTGTCTGGCCCAACACACTTGTACAGATGTGCACACACACAGTGACTGTTTACATCAGTGTGCACCGGCCAGTTGATGAACTGATTATGTTCATCAATAAACAGCTTGGTGTGGAACTATGTGAGCAATGGCGAAGATAACTTTGGCATCCAGATGTGGATTACACTTAAATCCAAGCTGTTTATGTTTATCAGGCTAACTTCCAGTTGTTCATGGGAGCAGCAGGATCCAGATAGAAGAAGGATTTATCGTGAACTGACAAAAAGCTTTAACATGAGCCAGTTTGCCACTTTCTGTTCTTACTTTGTTGTCCTGTTTTGTCTGTTTTGGAGACGTCCAAGCTGTAAAGCTGTCAGGGCTCAGTTCCAGCTGCTGTCACCGCATCTTCATACAACACTGAAACAATAAGAAAATGAAAAAAGGTTGGAGTCTGCCGTAAAGTGTAGAATGAAAATGAAACTGTCATGCTTTAAAAGCACTGCTGTTTTCATGCATGATCAACAATCCACAAATGCCTGTTTCTGATCACAGTAGCTGTGTATGAATACATTTTTAAGCTGACCTGAACCTCAGAAAAGGCAGAATCTGTTTGAAAAATAAAATGAACCGCTTCAGTTCTTTCACCACAAACACTGAAATCAACTCAATAGATGTCGTTTAAGTTTATATTTCTTTATCTCCAACATAGAACTCAGAAAATCTCAGAGCACTTCACTTGGTCTGGTCAGTTGTTGCAATGTTATACATAATCTCCTTGTACCGAACATATTCATTTGTTTCGTTTGCTGTCATATATGTAACTAAAGCTTTGTATGGTCTACAATTAAACTGTATGCAGTATATTATAATAAGATTGCCAAAGGTAGCATGCATAAGATAAAAAGTATTGGTCCTAGACCAGAACCCTGTGGAACTCAATGACTTGTTTGTGTGTGTGTAAAACTTACCATTTATGTGAATAAACTAGAATCTACTGTATAAATATAACTTAAACCAGGGCAGTGGGTTCCTTTGACCCAACGATATCTTTGGTGTCAAATTCAGCACAAGGCTAGAGCTTTTTCCTTAAGATGATATGCCAAGTGCTATAATAAACTGTAAATCTTCAATGAAACTTTAATCTGAACTTTGCTGTATGATTTGCAAATCGTTAAATTTCTTTTTAGAAATATAGGGGAGGTTGACTTCAGGCCAACCATGAGCTTTAATGGTCTTTAATGCTCTCTCAGATGTAGTTTTGTGTTTTTCTACATGTTTTTCATTGTTTGTTTATCCCTCTTTACCTGACAGACCCCCAGTATTTCTACAGTAAGTTTTTTTTAGGTGAGTGGAAAGCAAGAGGGAATCCATATTTAGTCTATATGGACTAAACTAAGAGTGAAATGTAACTATTTCCATTTTTCTGCATTCTTATTTCCTAGTTTGTGTCTCTCTGTCGTTCTTTTCACATTTTTTGATCTTTGATGAGAGGGACACAAAAAGAAAGAAATGGATATGAGAGGAAGAGGAGGACAAGATGTGGAAAAGCTCTGGGTTTGTAATCATACAAACTCCCCACAGTATTCCTCTTTGATTAAACTGGCTGTCTACACCACCTAAACTGAGCTCAAAGCATGCTGAACAACACACCGCACAAATGTAGAGTTTCAATTTTTATGCAAAATCACACGTTTTTCTATCACTTTTTCCAGTACAAACATAACGTGGATTATTTTTTTCTTCTCCAGTTCAAGTATAAATTTATGTTTGCACACTGTATGTTAATCCTCTGTGCGTGTTTGTGCCTCTATATAACAACTACTTCAGAACAAATGAAATTCTTATCAGCTGTTGTATTTTATCTTTAGAGATAAATTTGACTCTGTGTTGAGTCTACTGCCTCTGTAGGTTTTAGCTTTCCATATGCTGCAGACACTGGTTTGTTGATTTAAGACACTAATAGATTCAACAAAACGTGGAAGGAAAGATGCTCATAGCAGATGTATTACATGATACCGGAGGGTCCTGTGGCAGGAGACTGAGATTTACCTCAACTACCGGTGGAAGCTTGTTAGAATTTAAAGCTGTGATATATCACACTGTTTTAATGACAAGACCAGTCCTGCTTTTCAGTGCTGAGTAAAGACAAAATCTGTAATTCAAATCTGTACATGTAAAAAGCACATATGGACCCAGCACCTGCATTCAAACTTATGTTTGTGCCATCATGCAATTATTTAATGAAAGGAGCTCATTTCTGTTTCCTTATTTTGTATTCTTGGCCTCTATGAATTAAATTGTGAAACTTGAACAATCTTAGTGAGACTTGCTCTCTCTGACATCATACAGAACCAAGAGCAGAAAAAGACAGTGTAGGTATTTTTAAAAAAATATTTTTATTTAAGGGTTTGTAGCCTGCAGAATAAAGCACCTTGAGTCCACACAGTCTGATGATTTTAGCAGAAGATGGGGAAGGAAGCACTTTGCATGAGATTACGGCACCAAAGGGTCTCACAGATGTTACTGTGGTTTAAGATTCAATAACTTTAAACCACTGACTTAAAGTTAGCAATAGGCTTCTAGAGATCAGCCTTAAAAGTTAAACAAGTTTGGATTCTGCTACATTAACAAAGATTTATTTCACTTAACATGTTAATTAAAATGACAAATGGCTGCATTAAGGCTGTACTTTCCAGTTTATTTGACCAATTAAAGTGCAAATACAAATCATTATCAGCCTTATTCATGCAGTACTTTGTACATAAGGATCTGACTATCTCACATGCTTATAGGCTTTTTTGTGTGTGCCCAAAAACACACACGCCTGTGGACTGAGCAATCAGAGATAAAATCATCATTCTGATTGTTGGATGACTAACAGATAAGCTTAAATTTTAATGAACCTGCATCACAATGAACCATGACACTATTCACCTGAATAAACTTTTTTGAAACACAACAACAACAACCGTGGTTCGTGAGAGAAAATATGAAGTGCTGAAAAGTACTGAAAAGTTTGCAAACACACACACACACACACACAAAAGAAAATAAGAATAAGGATCACAGTGGGAACTTGTTGTGTCGTATTTGATACCCAGTGGCCCTGCAGGGAGTGAGGCCAGCGAGTTCAGTCCAGCAGGGAGCAACTTCTGCTAGAAAACACAACCCACACACACACAAACACACACACGCACACACTCATACGTTCACACAGACAGCAGGTGGAGACTTGACCTCTTCTTTTTAAATGCTCAAAACTTGTGTAATGACTAATTGGCTGTTATTTAATACAATGACATTCTCTGTTGGTGTCCACTCCACTCATCAGTTCATTTTCAGGTTTGAAGGTTTAGGTACGGCCACCCGTTATTTTATTTTATTGACTCCTCTGAATTAAATGGTGATCATAATTTCTTAATGAATCCAAATGGAGGCTTTGCATTGGTTCGTCTAACCATGAGAATATTTCCCTAGCATTAGCCTCTTCTAATAATCCTACAGAAACACCTTCGACACTAGCCATACGCTAGCTACTGTGAATAAGAGAAACTAACCCTACGCATTAATCTGAGCTTATGTTTGCGCTATCATGTCACTGTCACTTCCAGTTCCTCTATTACACATGGAGGTAAATGTCTAAAGAAATCAGGAATTTCAGATTTTATATTCAGATCTGATATATAGGAAGGCGTTTAGTACAGTTTTTCCTTTCAAATGATTGATTTCACTTGTCATAATGTAAGCCATTGAAAGGGCCCTGTGGTGTAAGCTTGGCCAATCTGGAACTTCAGCCAAGCATGAAATGGAAATTCCTGTTCTGCCTCCTGAGGCTGTAAGCATTTCACTCAGACAAATGGGACTTGTGGGGGGCATCGAGGCTCCCAATCCAACCTAAAACACAACACTTGTTATTCATTTAACCTCAGATCAGCTGTAATTTGTATCTCCGAGTCAAGCAAGAGCAAAGAGATGTTTTCACTTTAACTCTTTTCTCCTCAGCAGGTACAACAAAAAACACAGATGCTTTCTTATCTATGTGCAGTCATGACCAGGTTTCTGAAAGGCTGCTATAGTGAGCACATGTGTCTAATTGACTGGCACTCAATCACAGAGAACAGAGATGCATGAAATAAAAAGTATAGGTGCTATTTGCAGAGGAAGTTCACATGCTGTTTTAAAAAAAAAAGGTGAAAAAAGCTTACTATGTGCTGTGGTTGTTAGTGCTGCCATGTGATTCTGTAACCTCCATAAAGGAAAAAAAGCATGACATTTTTTAACTTCTAGCTTCACTTAGATTTAATATGAATTCTGCAGACGCTGTATGCCCAAGCAGCTTCGAGAAGCAGGTTTACTGAGTCGTCTGGATAAATTTGCTGAGTACACCATGCATCGCTTTTGTCCATCTGCCTAACACAGAGGCACACATTATCATCTATCAACAGCAAACAGAAAAGCCTCCATGCCATATGCTTAGAAATGATTAAAATAAAACATACCCCTCCATATGGACACAAAAGATCACAAAGATATTATGATCATATTGTCAGTGTTAGGCGTAGTGCTGTGAAAACACAGAACACACACTCTACTTAGCATGAGACTGACCTTTACATTCATCTTCATAGCCACAGTGTATTTGGAACGCTTTTGAAACTGCTGACCTGTCAAGGAGAATATCATCATTTTGACCTTTGACCCTGAGTGGTTGTCTGTGCTGAAGGAGGTGGGGAGTTGCAGTGTGTTTTGTTATAATAGACTCGTGGGGCTTGAAGATTATTGTAAAGCCTTTAAAAACAACCAACCAAGTCTGTGCATGTATGTAGTTAAAGACATAACATCATTACAGTATTTGTACAGGCTTCAAATGCTGGTTTAAATGTTTGTAAAGCTCTGGTGTTGAAGAAACAATACAAATGCATGCAGACCAATTTGTTGGTCTCTTACTTCATTTTTTTGTAGCTTACTAACATCCTGACAGCATTCTTGAAAGCACTAGAACAATTTAATTTGGATGTTTTCAGCTGCAATGTGAAGTTTATAGATTTTTTATTTTATTTTGTTGTAAGAATAAAGGCTGACATCCACTCACAGCTCTGCTTGTTTCTTTGAAATTGTGCATGAGTGTGCAAGACAGGTTTATGGCAGCATTAGCACCCAAACTGCTGCGCTATACTGTGACTATAATGTAAGGTACAATGTGTGCTTTGTTCAGCACTGTGGCCATTATACAGCTGTTACCGACGTATACGCTCAGCTCTAAAAGCTTTCTGTAACTGTGGGAACATAAAAATGAGTGAAAAGAAGGGTTACTGACTAATTACAGAGGTTTCCTGCAATAATTTCCAACCTAAAAAAGTCATAAAACTCGTCTTATTGGGCTTTTTTTATTATTATTGTTATTCACATTTTAAAAC